CCCTTTTTTCCTATTTTTCCCCTCTTCCTTTATTTTTTCCCCCCCTTTTTTTCCCCAGAACCTCCTGGTATTCAGGATACTTTGGTGTCACCCGAGCATCCCTGCCCACATCAAAACCACTTCAGACCACTGTATAACCCAAATCGTGCCCTTTTCAGCCCCAAAAAAGCCACGTTGGGTGACGACATCACCAACCGCGGCAGAGATCGGCCAGGGGGTCCCCCTCGGGTACCACCGCAAGGGCGAAAGACACCCATCAATCAAAACCTTCAGCATCCTTTGCCCTCGGAGATGCAGCTTCATTTTGGGGTACCCCATCCCGCATCCTCATCCCCAGCCCTGTATCTCCATGTTGAAGCCCTCCCCCCCCCCAAAAAATAATTATCCAAGCGATGCCAAGATCCTGATGCTCCTCGTGCATCCCGCTGGCACCGTGCCACGATGATGCTGGTGGGATGCAATTCCTGATCACTCCGGGGAACCGGGCAGGAAAAGCTTTTAAGCAAAAATCCGTATTGTTTCCACCCAGCGGGGTGACCATTCAACCTCAAAACACGCTCAGGGTTGGGTTTCCAGTCGGAAATTTCCCTCCGAAGGTACAAAAAGCCACATTTGGCCCCCAAAAATAAGAGGGGGGGGGGGAATAATTCCTCCGCCTCCCCGCGTGTTCAGGCTCTGCAAATATTTATGCGGTTCAAAAAGGTCCCAAGGGAACAAAACACGGACACGGCGCATTCCCCCCCCAAACAATGAAGCCGGATATTTTCTGATGTGAGTGGAGCCGAGGCCGGAGCCGATTCCTATCTGCCTACCTGCGGCCTCCAGCTGGTTTAAATCCCTCCAAAAAAAGGCAAAATCTTTTTTTTTGGGGGGTGGGAAAGGCTTTTTTTGGGGAAAAAAGGGTTTTTTGGAAAAAAAAAAAAGAGAGGTTGAGGGAAAAAAGGGTTTTTTTAGGGGGGAAAAAAGGCATTTGGGAGAAAAATGTCTTTTTGGGAAAAAAAAAAAAGGCTTTTCGGACAAAATAAAGGCTTTGTATGAGCACCAGGCTCCCACATCTCTGTAAGCATCTTTAGCGTGGCGGGGGGGGTCGCACCGCGGTGGTCCCCAAGTTGCCGATGCCCGGTGTCACCTTGTCCCTTTTTTAACAAAGGAGGGTTGTTTAACGAGGCTGGGAGTTTATAATCCCCCCCACGGGGCTGCCGAGGGACCCCCCCATCCATCGCTGCCTCCCTTACGCGAGCATCCCGGGGTGCAAAGGTCACCGTGATGACCCAAAGCATCACCCCTCCACTCCCAGAGACGCTCCCCAGCCTCCAGCATCCCCCCATTCCGGGGCAGGAAAGTGAGGAAAAGGGAATGACCGAGGTTACATAAATGTTTCGAGTCGCCTTTGGGGGTTTATTTCATTTATTTGCAACGGATTGGGTATTTTTCCAAAGGAAATCGCAGGCTGACGCGGTTCCCCGCTGCCCTCCCCGGCTTCTTCTGAATGCTCCAAATGGAGCTTTTTTTTTTGCACAATTTTGGCTGGTTCTTTTTTTTGCAGTCCCCCCCATTTTTGCCCCAAATCCTCCGTTTTCTCCTCACAGAGCAGAAATTGCAATTTCCATCCACTTGGTGTCAGCTCCAGCCCCTCTCCGGCCCTGCCGTCCGTCCGTCTGTCTGTCCCTCCCCCCCCCCCCCCCAAATCCATCAGGGTTGGCTTATTTGGGGGGATGTCTTCACCTCCCTGCAATTAAAACCTTAATTTACCAGCAGTAACGGTTGCTGGGTCATGGATATCCTATAGGATCCATATGGGAGTGATTCAGTCCCTATTTTTCGGCTAGAAATCCCGCCGGGTGCCGAATCGGCACTGGGAACCCGGCACCTTAAATCTGTTTGTGTCTCCCATGCATCATCTCCTTCGGGTTAATTAAATCACTCCAATTAGTTCCAAAACGGCTTAAATCTGGGATGGGGGGGGGGTCTCCCAAAACGGAGCCGCTGCTTTAGGTTACAACGTGCATTTTTTTTCCTGGTACGTCAAAGCAGGATGAGGTGAGCGCTGCCTGGGAATGTAGCTCCGGGGTATTTAGCATTGGGGCATTTAGCACCTGGGCACTGGGGAATTTAGCATTGGTGCATTTAACATCGGTGCATTTAACATCGGTGCATTTAGCTCCAGGGTATTTAGCATTGATG